AAAACCTCTCTCAAAAAAGAAAGAGGGGGGGAAGGGAGGAAGGAAGGAAGGAAGGAAAGAAGGAAGGAAGGAAGGAAGGAAGGAAGGAAGGAAGGAAGGAAGGGAGGGAGGGAGGAAGGAAGGGAGGAGGGAAGGAAGGAAGGGAAGAAGGAAGGAAAAGAAAAGAAAAAACATGGGAGGCTTAAGAATACCGGCTGCTCTTGCAGAGGACCAAAGTTCAGTTCCCAGCACCCACATGGTAGCTCACAACCATCTGTAACTCCAGCCCCAGGTCTGATGTCTTCTTCTGGCCTGTGAGCACCAGGCACATACATGGTACACAGACATACAATCATGCAAACACCCATACACAGAAATTAGCAAAAAATAAAATAAAATTTTAAAAATAATGAAGAATAAGAAGAGGTCATGAAATTATTCATTAGGAGCCTTACCTGAGATCCAGATTTGAAATAATTCTAGAAACAAATGGGGCAGTAATTAGGAGAGGAAATGGGAAGCAGACATTTTCCCCAATTTATCAGACCTATCAGTGTCTCAAGTAATTTAACATAATAATGCCACACATAACTTTGTAAGTGAGATATAAAGGAAATACAAAAAGAAAACAAAGTACTTTTACTAAGTGTAAAAAAATAGTGTTTTATATGTAATATAGATGCATGGATGGATAGATGATGGATGGGTGGATGATGGATGAATGATACATGATGGATGGATAGATGAATGATGGATGGATAGATGATGGATGGATGGATTCTTCTCTATATAATGAAATCAGCTTAGGCCACTTCTGACTCAACTTTCTCCATGTAAGTTGCACATCCTAAAGAAGCAACACTAACCTTTTTTAAATCCCTACCCGGTGTACCTACCTTCTTCTTTTCTTTTAATATGTATAAGTATTCTGCCTGCATGTGTATCTGTGTGCCATTGTATGTCTGGTGCCTGAGGAAGCCAGAAGAGGACATGTGATCCCCTGAAAATGGAGTTACAGGTGGTTGTAAGCCTCCATGTGGATGCTTGAAACCAAACCTAGGTTTTCTGGAAGAGCAGCCTGTGCCCTTAACCACTAAGACACCTTGCCTGCCCTGGCTATATTCTTAAAGCATCACTGCCACTGGTACAATACCATACAAAGTTCACTGGAATGTGATTCTGAATAATTCTCAGTTGTTAAAGTAATTGTACAGTTTTTGGCCACATTATTTAGCTTTTGTGTGCCTTGGTTTCTTTATCTATCAAAGAATTACTCCTGCTTGCCTCAGTCAGTCTCACAAGATTTCCATGTATGTGGATAAAGCATGCATAAACAAACGTGTATACAAGCCACCTATAATAAGCTTTTACCAATCAATACAGAACAAGAAAACTTCTTGTCCCAAACCTGACTACCTGAGTTTGATCCCCAGGATCCACATGGTAAAACAAAAAAAGAAATGCCTCCCCCAAGTTGTCCTCTAAACTCCACAGTTGAACACACATGCACAAGCACGCACACATGCGCGCACACACACACACACATGCATGCATTCACACACTCACACACAACTTTAAATTGTGAAACATGTTCAATACTGTTTGCTATCAGGGAAATATTTGCAAATTAAAACAATATTATGATTTCATCTGACCCCAGTCAAGTGGCTGTCATTAAGAAAACAAACAAGAAATGCTGGTGAAGAAGCAGGGGTGGAAAGGAACCCCCACATCCTGCTGGTGGAAATGTAAATTAGTCCAACCACCGTGGAAAGCTGTGTGGCGCCTCCTCAGAAGACTGAGAAGAGAGCTATCATATAGCCCAGCTGTGTTACTCCAGGGCACATACCCAGGAGATTCTAAGACACAGCTACTTCATTGCAGCACTATTTACAGGAGCCAAGCTAGGAGCACAAACAAGGTGTCTGTCAACAGATGAATGAATGGAGAAAGAAAATGCAGTGTGCAGGCACAGTGGAATTTTACTCAGCCTCAAGAATGAAATTGTGTGGTTTGCAGAAAAAAACAAACAAACAAATGGAGATTACCATATGCAGAAAAATAAATTGACTCAGAGAGACAAATACCACACAGATTTTATATTGACACATAAAGTCACTTGTGGGTACAGGGCATGAGCTGAGAAGTCAACCAACCTGTGGAATGACAGGAACTTGAAACAGGAAAAAATGGAGGGTGGATGCTCACAGTCGAAGGACACAATAGACATATGTGGGAATAAGCCTTTGTGAAACCCGTCACTGCGCAATGTATATTATTATACCAAAAAAAAAAAAAACCCTGATTAAAAATACCCATTTTCCGAAGACCCAGAGCTTCAAGAACTATAGCAGAACTATTATACAAAAGGCATCAAAGAAATCACCTTTCTAAAAAAAAAAATAATAACATGAGAAATGGGTGCACATAAAACAAAATTAGAGGTAACATAAGTAACAACTATTAGGTAAATCTAAGGAATTACTCATTATTAATTAAATTTCCTTGGAAGATAGCCAACTGCATAAGGAAAACTGTACAAAAGGAAAGTATAAGTAATATTAGGAAAAAGGACAATTTGAAGTATATTTTTGTGAAGTTCTGATATCTAAAATTGAATATTGTATGAAGGTGAAACACAAAAAACTAAAGCCATGTATTATAAACCCTAAAACAACCACTACAATAAAACTGCAAAACCCTCAGCTAAAAGGACAAAAAGGACAATAAACTATAACTATAAAAATAAAATGTTAGGGGGCTGGAGAGGTGACTCGGTGGTTAAGAGTACTGGCTGCCTCGTGAGGACCCATGTTTAATTTCTAGCACTATAGGCCAAAAATAAACTTAAAGTGGCATTAGAAAATAATTTAACTTTAATAAAAATGAAAATGCTACTTATTAAAATGTACAGGATCCAGCAGAAGGCAACACTGAGTGGGGATTTCCTTGTAGCCAGGGCCAGAACACAGGGGTCTTAACACATTATCATAGCTTTTTCCTGAAGAGATTGTGAAAGGAAGTAATTAAACTTCAACTAAGTAGGAAAAAAAGCTATCGGAAAAGAAATCAACGAAATGTAAAGTATAAATATCACAGAGAAAAATCAGTGAAATCAAAGCTGGTTCTCGGCTCAAATCAACCAAACTGGTCAAGTTCTAGTTAGAATGCCCCAAAGAGGAAGGCTACATTGCTGAGATCAGAATAGAAGATGGGCAACCACTACTGATCCCATAGTGACCAAGAGTAGACTAGAATACAGTGACGTAAATAGCTCCTGAAGGCCATTTCTTTCTTAAGTTGTCTGTGACTGTTTGTCTTTTTCAAAGAATTTGTCCCTGTAACGCCACATTGTAAATGGACCTGACTGCCCTTAGGGACGAAGAGGGAGGAGGAGAGGGAGTGGGGGGAGTGGGAGGGTGTTGGGAAGAGGGGCGTAAATGGAAACTTTTATAATTTAATAAAATTACTTTCAAAAAAAAAAAAAGAAAGGAATGGCCTGAAGAATCTTATATGAAAGAAAATGAGGGCCGGAGTTACAACTCAGTGGGAGGGTACTTGCCCAGTGTAAGTGTAGACCTGGGTTCAAGTTACAGCTATGGTGGGAAGATGGCAGCGTGTCCGTCTGGAAGGATGCAAGCTGCGTGTGTTGGGGCTGCTTCTCAGACAGATCTCCATCGTAAGGTCAACCTCACTGACCACTGAGCTTTCGTACCTGGAGTCAGTACAGTGAAGATCCCAGCCTCAGAGGGCGACAGCGCGATCGATGTCAGGATCGATGTCAGGGATTTGGTTATGTGGCATCACCTCTCGTGCTGGGTGCCTGTGCTTCCCCGAACTGTCTCAATGGTCTCTCTGGCCACCTAAGTCTGTTCTGACTTTGAGAATTGTCACACTTTAGGGGGCTCCTGAGGCTCCACCCCCAATCTCTTCGTAAGGCTCATTCCTGGATATTGTTGGGCTTCAACTTGACAACATACTGCCTTTCGAGGTCCTTAAGACAGTCCTTGTCATGCTCCGCCCAGAAGACAGTACATGGCGCTGAGAGGGCAGACAGCCATCTTGTGTAGCTTAGATGAGGCGATCACGGTAGAAGGATAAGTGGGCAGGGGAAGGACTCCGCAGCGTGGCACCTGGCGTTGTCCTTAACATCTTTCTCAGCTAGAGGAAGTCCTCCAGGACCTTGGCAGAGTCGAAACAGATAGAGGCCAGCTGGGAAAGAAGGCTGGAGCCTGTTCAAGGCCAATTACCTGACTCCAGGGCCGGCTGTTTGTGCCTGTGTGCCTCCCCACGTACTTGACAGCTTATGCTCGCCCCTCAGAGGGTTACATCCGTGTGAAATCCTCCATGGGTGCCCTCGGTCACCATCCTGTGCAACATATCTCGGTCCTGCAGGGGGCTCTGAGCTGCCAGGTAACTGTTACAGTGGACCAGCCTGGTGGTTACTGGGTGGCCTCGTGCTCCTTGGAACCTGGCGGTGGTCCCCAGCTGTATCACAGAACTCTGATCTCTTAGGTCATAAAGGTTTAGAGGTGGGGGAGGGGTGACAGACAGCAGAAATCAAACCACAGCCCCTCCCACAGCCTCCATCCCCGCAAATTTCAATCTCCAGCATCCCAAATTTTCTGGATCCCACTCAAAATGTTACAAGGTGGCTTTTTGCAATGTTTCCATCTCCTCAACCTATCAGGAAGACCTTCACCTACAAGGTGCCCTTGAACCCAGACGTCTGCTGCTTCCTGAACAGAGCCGGGGACTATCAAACCATCGGGCTCCTCTCACAGGTTTCGTGGTTTTCCAGGAACTGCCTCTTTCAGGATTCCTCTGTGGGCAGCTCCCACTTTCCTCCATGGTAAGTTCCTGCTGGGCATCAACCCACACAAGAAACCTAAGTTTCTCTTCTACCTATTTAGATACCTAGATTTGTGATAACTTTTTTTAAATGTTTATTCCATTATCTTCAATATAGGGTGTTAAACAAATGTTAAATTCATTATTAATGTATCAAATGTAGGGGACTGGAGAGATGGCTCAGAGGTAAAGAGCACATGCTACTCTTCCAGAGGACTTGAGTTTGATGCCCAGCACCCACACAGCATCTCAGAACCATCTTAAACTCCAGTTCCAAGGAATTCAGCTCCCTTTCGGGGTCTCTGTGTGATGGAGGAGGGTTATCTGTCATTGTGTTATTTTCATTGGTCAATAAAGAGACTGCCTTGGCCCCTTGATAGGACAGAAAATTAGGTAGGCGGAGAAAACAGAACAGAATGCTGGGAAGAGGGCTATGAGGCAGACGCCATGGAGCCAGTCACCAGGTCAGACATGCTGAATCTTTCCCGGTAAGCCACACCTTGTGGTGCTATACAGATTATTAGAAATGGGTTAATCAAGATGTGAGAGTTAGCCAGTAACTAACTCTCTAGAGATAATGGGCCAGGCAGTATTTAAATGAATACAGCTTATGTGTTATTATTTCTGGGGCTAAGCTAGCCGTGCAGGAGCTGGGCAGGATGAAATGCAGGCCTGCCCGCAGCCCCTCACTACATCTGTGGGCACCAGGCACATGTACAATGCATATGTATACATGTAGACAAACATTCATACGTGTAAAATAAAAATAATAGCGTATTTTAAAAAGAAATACACTTAATATATGCTTGGACAATTGGTTGATCAATCACATCAAATTGAGTCATTATATAAAGGCATTAGTCCTCTGTTACTATAATTTCACAGCAGATTTTTACCTGAGTTCTGTGTGCCTGAGGAGCAGGGATAAACAATGAAATGTATCGCGCGCACACACGCACACACACACACACACACACACACACACACACACACAGTGTTCTAAAAAGAGCTTACTGTTGATAAAAAATGAAAAGACTCACTCTCGCAGCTCAACATAAAACTCTGAACCTACTCAAAACACTATGAGGTGGTTTTTGGAATGTTTTTCAGAACTGCTTTGATTTTTGTTGTTCTTATTTTATTAGAGATTTATTTTTGTTTTATGTGTATGAGTGTTTTGCCTGCATGTCTGTCTGTGTACCACATGTATGCAGTGCTCACAGAGGTAGAAGAGAATGCCAGATCCCCTGAAACTGGAGTGAAAGCCACCATGTGGGTGCTGGGAACAGAACATAGGTCCCCTGGAAGAGCAGCCGGTGCTCTTAACTGTGGAACCATCCCTCCAGCCTCATTTTCTTAATGTAAATTATCAAACCCACCTCCCCATCCTCCATTCTGTACCTTTAACAACTTCCCAATCCTCCCTACAGCTGTTCTTTCCTAATTTCATGTCCCCCAACTCAAATCCACTGACTCCGCTTAATGTTATCAGTATGTCTATGAGGGGATAGGGATGTCTCCTGAAACATGGGAGACTCTCCTGCGTCACATCCCTGAAAGAAAAAGAAAAAAAATAAAAATGAAAATAAAAAAACTTGACTCCTTCCTCCAGCCGTTATCAGTTGCCAATAGCGGCGCAGCCACAGTTGGGGCTGGGGCTTTATGAACCTCTCCATCCCTGCTGGAATTCTGCTAGGCAACCACAACTGCTGTGAGCTTAGGGATGCTGCTGTGGTCCTGCATCCTGTTTCACCCTAGTCGTCCTGATCTCTAGCTCTTACAGTATTTCTGGTCGTCTTGTTGGACAATCTCTGAGTCATGAGGGGAAGGAATGTGACATGGAGTTTCGTTTAGGGCCAGTCACTCCTCAGAGTTACTTTTATTTTCTTTTTGCGGCTCCATTGTTTTCAAGCATGAGCTTCACGATAACAACATCATGTCACGAGACCAAAGGGTTGGACAAGCCTACAAGGATTTCCCTTGCCCACCTATGTCAAGGTCAAGTAAAGACCCTCCAAAGTTGTGTTCTCTTCATAAATCATTAACTGACCTCTTTTGTGTGTGTGTGTGTGTGTGTGTGTGCTTGCTGAACCATAACAGCAAAACCTCTTATTAACCAAACTTTAAGTTCCTCTTCCCCATCAGACCCACTCTTAGCCTGAGTCACATAAGCCCCTCCTATTTGCCCCACCCAACAATAAGCTGAATGCCAATCATATATATATATGCTGAGTGAGTGGTTGGTACCCCACCACACCACTACAAATGACATCAGTGGGTTTCAGCCCACCATCTTCCTGCTGGGAGGCTCAGAGTCTTCCCCTAATCCTCCCTCTCTTTGTACCAACATTATTTGGAATTACAACAACAACAACAACAAAATATGTTCTCAAGAGGACTATTTTAAAGACAAAGAGGGGTTTGCTGGGAAAGTAAACCAATTATGTTGCTTATGGAAGAACACGTTCTACATGGGTCTTTAAAGGTGGTGGCCAGCGCACCACCTTTAAAGACAGAATTTGCATCTGAAATAACAATGTTTTGACTCCTTAGCAGCTCAATTTACCTGAGTTTCGCATCTGTTTGTGTTTGGAACCAATGAGAGCAGAAAGAGAGAAAGAAAATCTATGTAAATCATTTGACTGGTGTAAGTTAAAGACGGATGTGCAAAGATCGTACTGGGAACCCAAGGATGCTGCTAAGATCATACTAGGAACCCAGGGAAGCTGCCATGACTAAGATAGCTATGATGCAAAATGCAAAGGTTGTTTCCAGGGCAATCTAGAGGAGCCCATGGAGTAGGTGAGCACAGGCACCTCTGTCCACAGGGACATGGGCTGAGATCCCAGGACAAGAAGGCAGAAACCTCTGAATTGGTTTCTCAAACCTATCAGGTTAGCCTAAATCCCTCCTCCTCTATCCAGAAAAAAAAAAGTTCTTCTTAAAGAGAGCCCAGTATAAGTAGCATGACCTTAACCACGTAAATTCAGATTTGTGGTCATAAAAATAAAGCAAGAATTCAAAAGAAGTGCTGGACCTTTCGTGCAATGACGACATCTCTTATAACACGTGACTGATGGAGATGTGGCTTAAACACGCTGCAGAAAATTTCATTCAACAGAAGTCTATTGTCTGTAGTTGACCAAATTCAACACGCATGACCATGTTAATGAAACATTTGTTTTAAATCACTCTATTTTAAACCATGGCGATAACTTGTGGCAGGGAATACCTGATGCCCTTGGAAAGCCCTGGCGAAGGCTTGATCAATTCCTAATGTGTGTAGAGGGCACAAAAGTTGATGATGGACACAGGAGTTGGTGACAGCTCCTGCCACAAGGTAACAGCAACTTCCAGCCCCATTCCCCCCCCCGCCACACACACACACACACACACACACACACACACACACACACACACACAGTCTATGAAGCCTCTCCCTGTGGGACTTGGGGCAAAATCACAGCATTAATGGGCCCTGTTCTTCTTTCCCCGTGATAAATCACTTGCACACAAATCCTGTCCTGGGTTCACCTTCTTGGGGGCCCTCAGCCTCACTGGCCTCAAGATCATGAAATAAGATTGAATACTTTTTGTCATTAAAGTCCTGTAATGGGTGACCTTTTATTCTTTTATTTACTCAACAGATACTCCATGCTAAGACAAACTCTCTTTGTAGCATTACCTGAGAACAGTCACCTTCTAAAGACCCACATTTAACCTTGGGGCTATCGACACTGAGCCCTGTTGATGACCCAAGCAGCCAATTCCCTGCCCATGTCACCTTCTACGAAGCCATCTTAGATCAGCAGCACCCAGACTGCCAACGGTATCAGTATGTTATGACGCATAAATATAGCTCTTACCTTTCCAAAAAGAAGCTAACGAAAACAAGGGAATGTCAGGAGAAAGAAATGAGATTCACATTTCCCAATATTTATTCTTATATACTTTTTATACAATGTTTTTACTTTTTATTGTTTTTATTGAGCTATATATTTTTCTCCACTCTCCTCCCTTCCTTCCCCTCCCCCTCTGCCCTCTCCCATGATCCCCACATTCCCAATTTTCAAGGAGATCTTGTCTTTTTCTACTTCCCTTGTAGATTAGACAATGTTTTTACTTTTAAAATATGTAGATAATTTATATAAAAAGTAAAACAAAAAGAAGAAATAGCATTCCCTAAAACAAATACATTCTCTTGAGAAATTCACACCCACTGTCAGGTATAGAATGCTTCTCTCTCCCCCCCCCCCCACCCACGCTTCAATCTATAATAAAACTATTTCTTAATAAACTCCAACTTAGCCGTGAAAATAATAAAAGTGTGAACAAGTGATCCAAATTGTATTTCAAGATGATAAAACTCCACCTAGAGAAAATGGTTATTCCAAATAGTCAAGTCAATACAGCGGGTGAATTTATCACTAGTGGGCATATTGGAACTGTAGCTCTGAAACAATTTTGTGTGGTATTTTAGGTAAAGCTGATCAAAAAACATTAAAGTTATTACAAAGGAAGATGTTTAGTCTAAGACAAAACACGGGGGGCTGGAGAGACAGCTCAGTGGTAAAGAGAAGCAGCTGT